AACCAAATATTAATTAACTCTTGCTGAAAGGAAAATTACTTAGACCAATTTTATCCAGTAGAGTTCATTTGAACAAAACAGATCAAAACAAATACAGCTGAGAAATCAGTCAGTTCCGAGACGGAAAGTTCTGAGAACCAACACTGTTGTGTTTTATGGGAAAACAGGCACAAAAAACAAAAACAAAACATACAAAGAACAAATTAATTGGCTACAGACTAGTCAGTCAACCAGTCAGTTGGTTACGGTTTAGCTACTTAGTTGTTTATAGTTTTGTTAATTGGTCACCAGGCTTTCTCTAAGCAACCAACGCTCGAATTTACCATGATTAAACTCTATTGGTTTGATCTGTTGGGACCAGGGCAGATGTCCTGTTCATAGTCATGGTCTCCAACATTTACATTTAAGAGCCCTTAGTGCCTAGCCCTGTATCTGACATATAAAAACCCTCTAGTAAATGTTTATGGATTGAGTGGTTGACTTGCAGTATTTATTGAGAATAACCTCAAGGGGGCTGTTCATGACATGGGATTTACTTGTAGTTTCTATCCCCATGGCCAAGTTCTGACTTTTACTTCACTTTGGAGACTTTATAACCCCTGCGTTAGCTAGTACTAAATTTTATTCCATGAGCGAGCCCTTGCCGTGAGGCTGTAGTAGCCACAGTCCATCTGGCATGTATGAAAAGGTAATCCCAGGGGACCTCCTAGGTGCTTACTGCAGCGCTGGCCAAACCCCAAAACGATGCAGATCAAAAGGCGGTGTTATTGTCACCATCTGTCAAGGCGATGGTACTCAGAACAAAGACTCGCCATTCATTTTCCCAGGCACATACACACTGAGCAGCAGGCACTGCGTCTAAAGCAGATTGTTGACAAAACAACAAGTGCAAGTTTATTTATGCATTCTTTTACTCAGCCAGCTAGGCAGCCCTCCAACCTAGCAACACTCTTGAGATTTTGTTACAGTGTAGTGTAGTTAGATTTACTGGGTGTAGGCTGAAGCCTGAGAACCTGCATTTCTAATCCTCTTAGTTAGATTGGACCTTGAAATTTCAAGTGTCATCCAAGCAGCCCTGGGAACTTGTTCAGAATGCCGACTGTTAGGCGTCACCCAGGCCAGTTGAATCAGAACCTGAATTTTAACAAGACCCTCGAGTTAATGTTTTATAAGTACTACTCTGATCATTTAATTAGCTGACAGTATAAATTATGGGCAGTAGTTCCAATGAAAAGGAAGGTCAGGTAGAATTGCTATTCTTTTTTTTTTTTTTAAACTCTTGGGTACCTGCACAAATATAGCATCTTACAATAAGCAAAAGACACAGACAGGTGCCTCTTTGTTCATTTAGTGGCTCAACTAATCCATTATTATCCATCCTGGATTGCTGTTTTCTTCAAACCTAGGAACCCACTTGTCTAAACTATCCCTTTCTCCAGAGAATTCCATTTTGGACAAGTTTCATGAGCTGAGACATTCTTGCATTTGGTGATGTCCAAGTGATCAAACACAATGCAAAGTGTTTACTCCTCTGTAAAATGGAGATAATCATGTCACCTATTCCTGCTTCCTTACAGCTTTGTTATGACAGACTTTGAAAAGATAGAAATGTTCAGGGGACTTTGAAACAGCTTTAGTTGGAAGAAATCATATATGTATCATTGTCAAAGAGATGAGTTCAAAATTTCCCATGGTTATCTACTAACTTTGTGATTCCAGGCAAATTTCCTCGTCTAGTTGAACCTGCACCTTATTTATTGTCATATAAAATCATCATGAAACTTCTACCATCCAAGATATAGTAAGGATTTGAAATGCTAATGTAAGTAAGGGATTCAGTGCACAGTAGCATTTAATAGTTAATAGCCCAAATCAGCACATTAAGAGGCTTGGATGAGAAATAATTCTTCAGGTAAACCTGTTGAGTTGGGGCAAAAACTGCTGAATTTTAGAAGAATTCTCATCCAGTTCAAAAGCCTAATCTTGAAGTTTATTGTTCAATATCTCTGAAAGAAAAAAATACCCCCACTGCAAAGTTTCATTAACTTTTATTGACTCAGTCACTGCAAGGGTTTTTGTTGGAGACGATTTGCTGTGATGGTTCTGTCCCATTCACATGCGCCCATCAAAGGTGCAGATGGGTCTTCTGCTGGCTTCCAGAAGCACCTGGCACAGGTATGGAGGAAGGTTTCCCCACTGCCATGCTTGCTAACAGACACTCCAGGCCATGGGCATGTGACAAAATTAGTGGAACCAAAGGTCATGCGTGGCAAGGAAAGGTCATTGCTCTGAGGACCGTGGGAACTGATTCACTCTAATGATCAGAATAACAGAAACAAGTCTTACTTGCTCATGATGTGAGCAGGCAACGTTTGTGTTGTTTCTGCTTTGCTGTCATCAATTAAGCATTTAAGATATAGAGGGACTATTGTCTACCTTTAAAAAAAAGTCCTTGCCGTCTTTTATCATCCTGACCTATACTTCATAGTTTTGGAAATGCCCTTTCAAGGTCTCAGCTCTGTTAAGCCTCTTTGCAGACAGGCTGTCTTTAGGTAGGTATTCTTTGGAGAAAAGTATTGCCCTGTTCGTTTGCTGAAATTTGCAAGTTTGTGTGTTGATACCCATGCAGGTGGTATTCTGAGGTTCTCTGGAGTGTGATTTCACAGACTCGGGCAGAGTGTCATGTGGATTGTTTTTCCATCTGAATCTCTTTGTAGAGTGTGTGTGAATGCTCAATGCCATGCGAGATAAAGAAGTCCCACCTAATGTCAGTGATAACCCATTAAGAAGGGGGTGAGGATAAGGAGGCAGGGGGCAGGTGGAGGCTGCAGCAAGTGGGGTGCATTAGCTGGGTGATTATCCATTCTGTGCCAAAGGGGAGACTGTGGAAGAGCGAATCAGGAGGACTTAGGCACAGGTTTTGCTGCAATAACTCAGGGTAATATACATCATCAAGTCGTGTTTAGGTGGAACCACAGAACCCCTTCTAGGCAGAGAAAAAGCAGTTTGATGTGATTGTGTTCCATGTTAATTTCATGACACCAAGAAGGGCTCTTCTGAATCTGAACTTGGTTGTTGGCCCATTTTGTTTAAAGCTTGGTGTAGGGGTGGATCCGTTATGTCCTTTCTGTCAAGACCCAGGTCGTAGCCTTCACCCAGACAATTTGTTCCAACATGCATCCCTTTGAGGAATTTGTGGGCAAAGGTAAAAGGGACACAGTTCTGAATAAGGGGGTGTAATGAACAGCGGACAAGATGGATTGAAGGGCATCACCTTTTAGAATGGAAAAAAAATATTTTCTAGTAGTCAACAATTTGGATGTCAGTCCTGTGTGTCTTGTTCGTTGCAGAAGCTTGTTAGCCGGGTGATTTGTTTATTGGGGATCCAGGGAGAGTAGTACCAACTACAAATATAGTGTAGCTATTATAAATCCATAAACCTCACCAAGTTTTTGTGAGGGTCAAACGAGATAACAGAGAAGAGAGCATCAAATACTTTAAAACTGCTCTTCCCAGTGTGGAGCTGCTAAACATGCATTATTGTTAAATTTAAATTGATTAAAATTTTACACAATATAAAATTCTGTTTTTAAGTTACATTGGTCATATTTGCAGTAGTCAGTAGTGAAATATGATCCTCAGGCGCCTTATTGGACAATAAGGATTTAGTTGGACAACAAAGACACAGAAGTTTTATGTTATAGGAGAAAGTTCTGTTGGGCAGCTGTGTACCCAAAGTGCTACTTAGGATATGATATTACAGACATAAAGGGGGTCACATGATAGAGCTGACAAATGCTGTCATAGTGAAAGAACCATGAAAAGAAACAGAATCCACTCGACTTAGATGAAATCAGAGAAGGGATTTATTGACTAATTCAAGAAAAACTAATAGATCCCAAAGTCTGGAAGCACAGTGGGGTTTCAAGACAGATTGGAACTTGTGCTGAGGAGATTACCAGAACTAAAGACATCGGTGCTCATCCTCACAATTTATTATTGTTTACAACCTTCAGTCAAACTCAATCCAGGTAATGCAAGGGGGGAGGGTGGCATTAAGAAGAAGCACATATGGGGTAGGGTCCAATCAATGGTCACCACTCATCCTTGCCTCTTGGGAGAGCTCTTTTGCGCTTATAATCACATTAAAAATGGCTAGAAGAGGGCCCGGCGCGATGGCAGAGTGGTTAAGGTCCTCGCCTTGTACGCCCGGGATCCCATATGGGCGCCGGTTCTAATCCCAGCAGCCCCATTTCCCATCCAGCTCCCTGCCTGAGGCCTGGGAAAGCAGTCGAGGACGGCCCAAAACTTTGGGACCCTGCACCCTCATGGGAGACCCGGAAGAGGCTCGTGGCTCCGAATCGGCATAGTAATCGGGCCGTTGTGCTCACTTGGGGAGTGAATCATCGGATGGAAGATCTTCCTCTCTGTCTCTCCTCTCTGTATATCTGCCTTTCCAATTAAAAAAAAAAAATGGCTAGAAGATATTTGATGAGGCCATCAGGAAAAGTGTGATGCCCTTTCTTCTAGTTACTTCCATAGTTTGCATCACCAAGGTAGATTTAAAGGGTGGTTATTTAACCTCTACATTCATATATCTGGATAGAAGTGGGCACAGACAGGAACACAAGGTAGAAAATATGTCTAAACTCTTCAGTTTTAAAAAATATTTGCAAGGGAGGAAGATGGACACAGAGAGAGAAAGAGAGAGAGAGAGAGATTGGAGATCTTCCGTCTGCTGGTTCACTCCTCATTTTGGCCACAATGGCCAGGGTGGGCCAGGGTCTTCATTCAGGCCTCCCAGGTAGGTGCTATACCCAGTACTGCTTTCCCAGGTGCACTAACAGGGAGCTGGGTTGGAAGTGGAGCAGCCAGGACTCAGGTCTGTCCACATGCTGATATTGCAAATAGGAAATTAACATGCTGGACCCCAGCTTTTGCCATTTATTAAATGCCAACTCAGCACTCATAAATCTACTTTCTTCTCTACCTCTAGGAAGGAACATGAGGTTCCCTTGGAAGTCTTTCAGGAGGAAGATGGAAGGGGCAGTTTAACAGAGATTTAAAAGCAACAGCCTGCAAGACTGGGGCCTGAGGGCTGGCAGTGGAAGACTGTGTTGGGCTGTGATCTCTCACTGATCAGTTCCAAGTGCCTTTTTGCTTCCTGCAAAAGGAGAGAAGAGAAGGAGAAAACCATGTCTATCGCCTTGAAGCAGGTATTCAACAAAGACAAGACCTTCCGGCCCAAGAGGAAGTTTGAACCTGGCACACAGAGATTTGAGCTGCACAAACGTGCCCAGGCATCCCTCAACTCGGGTGTGGACCTAAAGGCAGCCGTGCAGCTGCCCAGTGGGGAGGACCAAAATGACTGGGTGGCGGTGCATGTGGTGGATTTCTTCAATCGGATCAACCTCATCTATGGCACCATCTGTGAGTTTTGCACTGAGCGGACCTGCCCTGTGATGTCAGGAGGCCCCAAATATGAGTATCGGTGGCAGGATGACCACAAATATAAGAAGCCGACTGCACTGCCAGCGCCGCAATACATGAACCTTCTTATGGATTGGATCGAGGTCCAGATCAACAATGAGGACATCTTCCCAACGTGTGTGGGTAAGTCCATGACCTTTTCAGCTCTCTGGAACATGTGTCCCTCAGACTTGGAAAGTTCCTAGGATCCTCCTCAGAACCACTTTTGAATGCTGATTAATATCCATGTCTGCGCTTTCCTAAGTTAGATTTGAATGTGGCTTCCTTGGGATTACAAAACCCTCCAGTTACCCTGGTAAGGTTTTCTATGTTTTGGCTAATTGACTAGTTTCCATTACATTGACTCTAATACAATTCATCTTTCAGAATTAAGAAATTTCATTGTGGGGTTTGATCTGGTAGCCAAAATGCCTGCATGCCACTGGCTTCGATTCCTAGCTCCCACTCTGATGCCAGCTTCTGCTGGTACAGACCCTGGAAAGCAGCAGATAATGGCTCAAGGAGCTTGTCCCTGCCATTTGGGGGAAACTAGATTGTCTTCCTTATTCCTGTTTTCAAAAAAGCCCAACCTAGAAATGGATCAATGAATAGAAGCCTTTTCTGTCTGCTCTTCTGTCTCTAGAATTTTAAATAAATAAATACATAAATAAATAAATAAAAACAGAAAAAAAAAAAAAACCCTCAGCGTGAGAACCTGAGGGTTTGTTTGGGGGTCAAACAACCTTGATTTGCATTCTGGAGAAGTAAAGATCCTGACATTCCCCTCCCTCTGCTATTCATAGATGTTTAATTCCAGGCTGTGCTCTGAACTCTGACCCTTGCATAGCTGCGAGACTCTTGAAATGCAAATGCTTCTGTTTACTTTGTGCCATGGGCCATAAAACTCAAGCAGAACCAAATCTATTCTACTTCTTATATTTTTTTGTACTTGTGGTCATTGCGTTTTCTGCACATTGATCATTGAATTTGGAACTTGGTGTTTTGTGCCCTATGCTAACAAGGAAGGACAATCTGTTACTCCACTCTTTGTGTCCCTAGTGTCTGGCATAATGCCTTGTCACCCTTATAAGCCCTCAGGAAGTATTGGGGTAATGACTGAATAAATACTTGGATTTGGGAAGTATTCTTTAAAAGCTCTGAGGTGATTGGGGTACACTATTGAGATCATCTCTAGATGGGAGGTGGGTGTTCCTGTGGCATTAGGAAAAGTTGCAAAGGGGCAAATGGAAGTAATCAAGTTTATACCTGGGGTGAAATGTCTGAATTGATTGGTTCTGGGTGGAAAATCTTAAAATATTTGACACACCAACCAATTTGTCAGCCTCCAGGCATTGCCTGGGCTGTGGGCTTCTTCATGCTCCTTCCTGTCTCTCATTTAAAGGAAGGGCGTGGATTGTATGACAGTGCACAGGAGCAGGAAGGAAGATTTCAGAAACTCCCCTGTCCTGTATTAAGCATCCAAAACGATGGGAATTCCTTAGGTTCCTTCCTTTTTACACTTTGACTGTCAGAGGCTACTTGTTGAGCTAGGAGGAATTTTTCCTTTCCAGAAGCCTTACAAAAGAGAGAGCTCTCTGCAGAACACATGATAGCAATAAAGATCAATAAATGTGGGCGAGGATACCACCTCTTCATCCTTCCCCTTGTGATGCTCCCAAGTGCTTTGAACCTGAGCATTCCTGCTCTTTGCAGCAGCTGTGCTTATAACACAAAGTTGCTCACCAGAAATCCTGCACAGGGCCATGTATGTTACTTAAGAGGGAGGAAGCTTCTGGGATTCTACTTGGAAACAGTACATCAGAAGTAGTTTGAAATGCTGCTTGGAGGAAAGCAACGGGTACCTCTGTGTCCCTCTATCACTGACTTTGCTTACTTTTTCTAGACCTTTCCTTAGTCATTGAGCATAGCTGGGAGCAAGTTTGATTACCACTTTCGGTTTCAGCTCTACTGAACCTATGCTCCGTACTGTCGAGGATCTTGAAGGAGCCAGTGGGTGTACTATGATCCCTGTTCCTCTCCATGGAAATATGAGTTTGGAAAAGGCTGGGTGAATTATTCCTTTACTGCAGAACATTTAATATGCCAGTCTATTCTAAAAAAAAAAAAAAAACACTTTAATACGTGATGTTTCCTAACTTGACCCTTAACACTGCTTTTTAATAGAATGTGATTATCCTCTTGGGAAATGTTACATATACTGAAGTTCTAAACCTTTTGTTTGTAACAGAATTGATCATTCTATTAAAAAATGCAAACCTCTTGATTCCCTCCCAGTTCCCCCTACTGCCTTAGCAACAACATCATAATCTGCAAATCAGCACTGTTTTAAAGAGTTTCATTGCTCTGTCGAATAACTGATAGAATTTATTTCTTCTGGCGAACTTGAATTATGTGTTTTTTGGCCAGTGTCTGGTCAGTCCCTTACCACCACCCCAGGTCTGGTAACACCAACCTACTTAGTAGTTTTATGAGTTCAATTTTCTAGATTCCACAAATATGTGAGTGATATCATATGATATGCCTTTCTGTGACTTATTTTACTTAACTATTATGTCTTCTACTTTCCTTCATAATTTGCAAAGGGTGACATTTCCTTCTCAGTCAAGGCTGACTAGTATTCCATTATATGTATAAGTATATATATACCACCTTTTCTCTGTCAACACAGTGTATTTACCCGATTGTTTATGCATGACACATTTCCCTTATTCCTGTACTCACTGACCATTTGTATGACTTTTTTTAAGGCACATTTGTTCTTATCGTTAGCCTACTTTTAATTGGATTTTTTGTTTTTTAATTTCTGAGTTGAACTTCAGTATTGAAAAGGACTTTCTACTCCTCTGTTTGCTATAAATACCCACGAGGCCTTTTCGTTCCCTAGAGATTGTTTCCAACCTGTCTGGGTTTGTTCATGTTATTCTTTCTTTGATCACCCATTTTTCTGTCTTTCGAATTCCCATGCATCATTTGAAGTCCAACTCACCATGTTCTCTTTGAGGGTTTCCATTGCTTAGAATGTAAAGTTCTTGAACTTGTGGAGGCCTTGGACATTTAACTGCCTTTATGCTAAGCCTGGTCCTGGTGCCTTGTAAGTTGTTGGGTAAGTGGATTAAGTTCAAAATGTGATCCAGGGCCCGGCGCGGTGGCGCAAGTGGTTAAAGGTCCTCGCCTTGCACGCCCGGGATCCCATATGGGCGCCGGTTCTAATCCCGGCAGCCCCGCTTCCCTTCCAGCTCCCTGCCTGTGGCCCGGGAAAGCAGTCGAGGACGGCCCAAAGCTTTGGGACCCTGCACCCACGTGAGAGACCCGGAAGAGGCTCCTGGCTCCGGATCGGCATAGTATCGGCCGTTGCGCTCACTTGGGGAGTGAATCATCGGACGGAAGATCTTCCCCTCTGTCTCTCCTCTCTGTATATCCGCCTTTCCAATAAAAAAAATAATAAAATAAATCTTTAAAAAAAAAAAATGTGATCCAAACAAGTTTAACAGATGCCTCAGAATCCCTCCGAAACCAATCCTAGGTATTTCCTTCACCTTATTTCCACAGGTTTCCAGTTTTTCTAACTTTTCCAAGATGAAATGTCAGGGCTCTGTAACAACAAAAACAACATCCACTTACATTCTCAGGGTCTTCTTGAGCACCTACTCTGACAGTACCCCTGTGATTCACCTGAGATGCTATTGTTGCTGTCTTTTAGAAGAACCTATTTTGGGAGGCACTTTCTCTGTTCTACTCCATTTCCTCCCCCCTCCCTCCCCCTGATTCTAGCCCACTCTTCCTTTTGATCTTTGTACTGTCATGAGTCATTATATGGGAAATGATCAAGATGTATGTCGGGATAAAGTAGAAGAATTCTAGGCATGGAGCAGACCCTGGTGGATGAAAAATGGGGAGATCTGCTTAGAATTCCAGCTTTGAATGCAAGGCATATTGCTGTGTTCCTGTCTGGGACTAGGCAGGCTTTCAGACTTCACCTCCTCCCCACTGTGATCCAAGGAAATAGGACCGGAAAATACTGGCAGATGTGGAGTCTTCCCCCTTAGTTGGGTATGAAAGGATACAAGCAGCTGTTGATCTCTACCCCTGAAACACTGAGGAAAGAACAGCTTTCATCTATTACCAGACTCCAGTGTAACCGGGGGGCTGTGCTATTCAAGTGTGTAGCTTTCTCAGGTGGGACCCGAAGATCACACAGACGTGGCTCCCTTGTAAGCCGGAGTCTCCTGTGCTCGCCACTGAAACTCAGGCTTCCGTTGTTAATCGTCTCTGTTAAAGGCCTTAAAACAGCATCAGAAGCAAGGGCTGCCTTGTCTTCAATTATATCTACTCACCGATAGCGATAACATTCTGTACAGAAAAATAGAAAGCCATGCCATTTCTGATCAACATTTTTTGCCTACTTTATTGCTTATGCTCTAGCCCCCCAGCTTCCCTGCTTTCTTTGTTATGTAACAGAATTTATGGTTTCGATCTAATATTATGGGAAATAATGGCAGAGTTTCCACAACTGATGTGTGGTTAGAGAGTCTTTGAAAAGGAAATTAAGAGCATGTGAAAAGCAGTTACATGGTCTCAGCTACCTTGTAGTTTTCAGATAAATGGGTGGCAGGGCAAAAGCGATCGGGAAAGACAAGGAGGCAAAGGAGGGAAGTGTCACCCCTTGAGGGCATCGGCGCTTGTCTGCTGCTGGGCCAGTACTGTTCATCTTTCCCAATTCTTACAACCCAGCTAATTAAAGCTGTGTTCCTTTTCATCACCCCTACCCCCCATTATTCATGCATTTTTATTGGAAAGGCAGGTTTACAGAGAGAAAGAGGGTCAGAAAGACCTTCCGTCAGCTGATTCACTCCCCAAGTGGCCCCAGTGGCCAGAGCTGAGCCAATCCAAAGCTAGGAGCCAGGACCTTCTTCTCTGTCTTCTACGTAAGTGCAGTCCCAAGGCTTTGGATCATCCTTGACTGCTTTTCCAGGCCACAAACAGGGAGCTGGATGGAAAGTGGAGCAGCTGCGACATGAACCACTGCTCATATGAGATCCCAAGGTGAGTGAGGACTTTAGTCTCTAGGCTACTGCACTGGGCCCAAAAGTCTTTTTTTTTTTTAAACCAGTGAAGAGGCTGAC